CCTTCCAAGAGGACCTGTTACAGGGGAACCTCTTATAATGACCTTGGACACAAAGAAGTCCTGTGTGCAGTGAATTTGGGCACCGGAGTAGAGATAATAACTGTGAGACTGCACTATAAGGAGACTATACTGCTAAGGCTTTGCATTGTGAAAAACGGTGTTGGCTGAACTAACCAAATCAGGAGTCTTGCAGCAGAAAGCATTGATCTTGATAATCTAACAATCTGCAGAGTCCCTCTGATTTGTAGGAAGGTGGGCGGCAGGGCATTTCGATTTTTGCCTTGTAAATTCCTCTGAGACCAAAACAGGTATTTTTAGTGCTTTAGATTATACTTAGCCATAATTTGGAGCACACAGTCTTCTTAGTACTCATAAATTTTTTTAAAAGTCTTTGTATTTCCTTTTTAGACATGACTCTGTTTCTGGGACCCTAAAATTTAGCATTGCCATCACATGTGTTAAGCATTCATTTTCAGTCTGTTTTAATCACATGCCAAGGAGGTGTGATTGCAAAAGCAAATTAAAAAAAATTACCAAATTAAATTTTAAAATATTTGTAGATCCTATTGCTTATAATGTGAAGTTTCCTTTATACCTAGTTTCAGAATCTGAAGCCTTTCATGTAAAAATTGCTGATAAAGCACTCAAATATGAAATTATTATGACACATACACATTTTAAAGATAAAATGTGACATGCTGTAAATCTCACCTTTGAGGAGAGCTGCAAAGGGAACAGAATGAAGATGCTTTTAATCTTTTGAGGGACAGTGAATGGAACATTATTTCTTCGCGTATATCTGGATTGTTGAGTGCATCTGGTACACAGTCCCCTTTGCTGTGATATATTTGGCTTCATTTCATTTTTGTGTGGAGCTGAAGAATGTGGAAGAGGCAGTAGGAATGTGCAATTCAGGCAGACCCTGTAGACTTTCTCTGTTTTACAATCCGAAGGTTTGCTAGATTATACATTTAAGTGATGGTAATGGACTAAATATGGCAACTGCTGATTTGTTAGAGTTGTTGCAGCGCAAGCAATAGTTTTAAGTATTTTGTCAAGGGCATTCTTTGTTAAAAAGAGGGTTGCCTTTGAAGCAGTCATGCCACCAACTGGGGTTACGTCGCACATTTAATGGGCCAGTAAAGCATTTCAATCTGCTAAAGCCTGTGAGAGGCGACATAGTTTGACTTCTTCTTTTTTCTAACATATTCTAAATTCTGTTTTGCCATCCTTTTGATTATGGGCAGACCTCTAGGGAGGAAATCTGAAGGAAAGATAATCTGCCACCACGGATTTTGGTAGAAGTCAGTGTTCCCTCCTCACCTCTGTCCGTGCCCACTCCACCCGTGAGCCTGTTCTTGGGGGGACTTTTCAGCCCAGGCAGCCAAATGGAGATCAGTTTTTCTCTTTAGTACACTTTTATCAGGTGCATTTATTGATTGTCGATTATAATTGACCGTTGTTAGGTGTTTCCCTTTGTATTTGTTTGCGTACAGCTGTATGCAGTAACAGGAAGCTTTCATATGCACAATAAGATGTCGGTGGAGCCGCATTTATAATACTGATGTCTCTGATGGTCCCCAGAGGTTTGTTTAAACGTGGAGCTATGTTTAGAAATGTGACTAACACCCATGTCTATGACTCGCAGGCAAAGAAAATGGATCTTGTTTTTTTGTGAAACATAACAAAACACCAGGCCCTATTTTCAATTAAAAAGAAAATGGAAGCTTCCTCCCTGTCACGTTTGACTGTAAAATATTGGGCGAGCAGTCAGGTGTGCGGCTTGGTCGTGTGGCTTGAGTGATACAGAGGGAGAGCAGGAGAGGAGGAGGGCGGGAGAAGCTGTTGGGTGCGGGGGTCTCTGCACCAGGCTGAGGGAGTTATCTCTAAGTTGGTAGACACCGGGGAGCTGGAGATTCTTCTTTTTTTAATTTTTGATTTTTTTTGTGGCAAAGTATACATAACAACATTTAACATTTTAACCATTTTTAAGAGCACAATTCAGTGGTATTTAATTACAGACATGATGTTCTGCAACCATCATCATTACCCCTTTCCAGAGCTCTTTTGTTATCACTCCATGTAAAACTCTGTACTCACTGAACAATAGCTCCCCATTCTCCCTTCCTTTAGCACCTTGCAACCTCTGTTCTGCTTTTTGTCTTCGAATTGGCCTAGTTTTAGGTACCTCATTTAAGTGGAATCGTACAATACTTGTCCTTGTGTGTTTGGCTTATTTTACTTAATATATAATGTTTTCAAGGATCATCCATGTTTTAGCATGTATCCGAATTTCATTCCTTTTTAAGGCTGGGTAATATTTCATTGTATGTATATACCGCATCTCATTTATCCATCCTCTGTTGATGGACCTTGGATTGTTTTCACCTTGGGCTATTGTGTACAATGCTATTACGAACATGGATGTATAAGTTATTTGTCTGAGCCTCTGTTTTCTTTTGTGTCTATACCTAGTAGTGGAATTTTTGAATCAGTGGTACAGGGAAGATTTTTGAGTAGTGGAGGGGCACAGAACTATAGTTTAGAAAACTGGGTCAGGTGGGTGGGCCTGAGGAGGTAGGATCGATTCAGACATGGTGGGGCAACAGAGGTACAGGTGAGAGAGAAGGAGGGAAGATTAGGGTCAGGAGCTGTTACAATGCTTCAGATTTCCTTAAAGGAATAGGGTAATATCTCCCCAGTGTCAAGTTGAGGATTAATGTTCCTGGGGGTGATTCATGGGAAAGCGTCTGCTCCGGAAGGGGATATTTTGGCCAGCTGTACCTCTTCTTGGACCCAAGAGAAAAAAGGTACTAAGGACTTCCCTTGCTTCCATTTCCCAACTTTCCTTTTTACTCTTACCCCCTGGTATAATCCCTAATCTGGAACCATTACTGACTGTAGATATCACCATAAGGACTACTAGAATTAAGGGGTGATTTGGGTGACATAGCTTAATATTCATCAGAAATGAATCAATAAATGAATATTGATTCATTTATCAGTCTCCCCTCCCACACCAAATACATATGAAATATAAACAAAATCAGGATGCTTGGTATGCAAATACAATTTCCAGGTAACTCCACCAGCCATTCTGGCTGATTAAGTTGCCATCTCTAAGCTGCTCCTATTAAAATTATGGACGACCTCAACCATAGGCTTTTTTTTTTACACTATTGGCTTGAGAGAGAGAGAGAGAGAGAGAGAGAGAGAGAGAGAGATATCAGTTTGTTGCTCCATTTATTTATGCATTCACTGGTTGCTTCTTGTATGTGCCCTGACCAGAGATCAAACACGCAGCCTTGACCTTGGGGCAACACTAACCAACTGAGCTACCTGGCAGGGCAACCAGAGGCTTTTATTCTCATAAGAACCACACCTGGAAACTGCTGAAAGTGTCAGATGTTACCGTTCCCACTGTATTGCGTTTGGAAGCATCAATGCTTTTCCCAGCTATTGTCACTAGATGCCATGTCACCTTGTGTCATCTACCCCAAGATCCACCACAGCACCTTTCCATAATTCCTTTTTTTTTATTGCTGTTAGATGATGTAAGAATGAACAAATGGGCGGGACCGTGACAACTCTTGACCTCAGTTTCTTCATCTGTGCAATGGGAGGAGCAGTTGTGAGAAGAACTTGAAAGTGCCAAGGGTTGCAAAAAGCACTCTGCAGCTCAGTAATAATTGATACTGACTTCACACCATTTTCAGGTTTCTCTCTTTCGTAAAGGAGCCTGTTTACAGCTCCTGTCCTGGCCATTACCACTTCCTGAGGGAGGCGGGATATAACAAAAATTGTTCAAAGATAGACATAGGAGAGCCAAGAGGTGACTGAGATTGAATTGGCTGCTCCCTGGGAGGTGGTTGGGTGTGGAGGGGTTGAATCATGGGAGGGCGACCTGTGGGAGGGTGGCAAAGGTGGCAGTCCCGGAAAAATCCAGGTATCTTACTGGCATGTTCCCCACTAGAAACACATCTTCTACTATCAAGTTATTTCTTCTATTATATTTATCTCTGGTTGGACAAAAGGAAATAACAAATGGAAAATTTGAAAACATCCCTGTCCCTTTCTTCTCTCACAGGGCAGAGTGGAGGGAGGGCACAAATCCTCACTTTGTAAATCTTTTATGTAGCAGTCACATCTACCCCAAGTATGTCAGAGAAACTGGCAGGACTTTTTTTTTTTGGTCCAATTTGGGTCTTGTTGAAACTGGTATAAATTACTATCATTTTAGTGAAGGAAAATTTAGAGGCTGTGCTGATACCATCTTTAAGAGCTATGGGAAGGTGAGTTAAGAATGCAATTACTGCTTGTAGCCCTTTCATGTGGACCGTGCTGACTGGTTTACCCAGTAGTAACTCCCAGCATTCCATGCGTTAGGCCCGGAGGTGATTCAGGTACCCCTAACGTGGTACTACATTAAAATCCAAGCTTGACTAGAAACACAAATTGTGAGATACACTTTGTAATAGTCTTCATATAAAGTTTGCCCTTTTTACTTTTCCAGATATTTTAATTTACAGTCTTCTCTTTGGGTTAGAATTCCTTTAGCTAACTGAATTTATACTCTTCTCCCAAGGTGGATTGAAAGTATGATTGAATTGGATAAAAATGTGGGTTTTCTCACACTCTTTCAGTATGTCCAAGTTTTGAACCTGGTCTGGAGAGACTCTGTGTTGAATATTCTTATGTTTTTTTGCCAAGGTCTTACAGTACCCCAAGATCATACACTATTCTAAAATGGCAAAGTCCCAAAAAACTTTCTGAAGGAAGGCTTTGTTCAACAATAATGATTCTATGTCAATAACAATATTATTCAACAATAATAATATTCTACTTCAAAATAATAATAACCACCCAGGCAGTAAATATTCACTAATCTTTTCTGGTCCAATAGACTATTTCTTTGTTCATTTGCCTGTTGTTCCAGTGTTTCTGTGCAGTAGCTCTGGACTTTGGAGGTTAAAGTGTGTGTTCTGCATTTCTTCTCCTAGATTGGCCGCTTGGTTATTGGACAGAATGGCATCCTCTCCACCCCTGCTGTGTCCTGCATCATTAGAAAGATCAAAGCCATTGGTGGAATCATTCTGACAGCCAGCCACAACCCTGGAGGGCCCAATGGAGATTTTGGAATCAAATTCAATATTTCCAATGGAGGTGAGTTTGCTGTTATTTTGAGGATGGTCAATTGTATGTTCAGTAGGATAAACCAGTAATCAATGCCTTGGGAGGCCTGGGTGGGTTCTGGTTCTGATACTTAGCAAGGGGGTATTTTATTTTCTTTTGGTAGAAATGAAATGCTTCTCATCCTGCTATATCTGAATATGAGGAACCATGCATGAATGGTCATCAACATGATATTTTCTTTTAGAAAACCCTGATACTTTGCTGCTTGAATGATGAATGCATGGCAGATGTGCTAGTGAAGAGGAATTGATGAGTTTTGTGTTTTTTGTATTTACCCGTCAGCTGCACAAAATGACCCCCTGCTTGCTGTTTGACTTCCAGGTCCTGCTCCTGAAGCAGTAACTGATAAGATTTTCCAAATCAGCAAGACAATCGAAGAGTATGCAATTTGCCCTGACCTCAAAGTAGACCTTGGAGTTCTGGGAAAGCAACAATTTGACCTGGAAAACAAGTTTAAACCCTTCACAGGCATGTTTACCCACCCGCTCCCTCCTGCCCACTCCTAGTTTCAACTTGAGCAGTTTGCCTTTCCAGGTTTTAATAGCATGCGTCTTCAGCTTCAGAAAGATTGTGGTCACTGAGCTTCACATGCATTAATTAACAGGTCTGGAATTGGGTCTGGGAGTCTAGAGACCTGGGCTCTCTGGCCCCTGCCAGTGGTCAGCAGTATGACCCTACGTAAGTCATTTCCAAATCTCCAGGCCTCAGCTTTCATAACCTATAAAATGAATTTAGCTCAAAGACCTGAAGATTATATCCACAGCTAAGTTTTACTGAGCTTTTATCATATGCCAAGCTGTTATCATTTATCGTCACATTTTATTGTTTCAATAGTCCTGCGAGGGCAACACTTTTGGTATTCACTTTTTCCAGGTGAGGAAGCAAAGGCTGAGAGAGCTTAAGTAAGAGTTTCCAGGTCACACAGAAAGTGAATGGTAAACCAGGATTTAGAGTCAAGTGTGAATGGTTGCAAAGCCTGGGTTTTGATTTTCTTTTTTGCCCTAATATTCAGTGAAATCAAATTAGGCCATTTGGGGGGATAAGTTGAAACTGCCTATGTAGGCAGGAGTGGTAAACATTTTGTTGTTAAATGCCAAGGCATTACAATTATTGATGGAATACTGTTTATGAAATTATTTATATTAGTCAAATGAGGATGAGATGGTTGGCAACGTGACTTCCGTTTTGCCTTTGCTCTAACGTGTATTCTTTTCTCTGGATTGCAATTTATGGAAGGCATTTTTTGTTTGAACCTACCCATCGAGAGCTGACAGTGCATCCTAACAAGGAGAAGATGGTGCTTTGCGACATCTTGAAGACATACTCAACGGTTTAGAAAACACCAGTAGAGAATTTCTTAAATTCGTAATGTTTTGGAGACGTTCAGACCCCTGAAAATGCAACAAAAAACCCCAGCAATTCTTAGTTCTTATATTTATCTATTCCTTTAGTAGTACATGTGAAAATGATTTGTTAAATTATTTGTTTCCTGCTTTCTACCATTAAGTCTTGATGGCAATGGGCCTGGAAAAAGGAAAGGAAAGTAGGTGTCATATTTTCTGTTATTTATGGCACCAAAATACACTCTCATGGAGATGGATAGGGAGTCAATGCAGCGGCAAAGTAGAGTTTGCCGTGAGGCAGACCTCAATCAAAAATCCCGTTTGCCCCATCCCAGCTGTGTGGACAAGCGACTTAACCTTACAGACCTTCAGTTTCCTTGTCAACAAAATAGGACTAATGATCATTTACCTCCCAGGAAAATTGTTAGTGTTGAATAAGAGATCATATAACAGTGCTGGCATCTTGGGGCCGCTCAATAATTGGCTTTTTAAAATAGCTATGGCATGTTTACAGCAGTATAATCGTTGCAGAGGATAATATTTCGAAGGGTGCTTAGTTCCTCCATCTTTCAATATTGCCTCTTCCCACAGTGGAAATTGTGGATTCGGTGGAAGCTTATGCTACGATGCTGAGAAACATCTTCGACTTCAGTGCCCTGAAAGAACTGCTCTCTGGTCCAAACCGACTAAAGATCCGCATCGATGCCATGCATGGAGGTATGCAGCCGCTTCTACTCCCTTCTCCCCGATAGGAAGCTGCTCTCCGCTCTGTGCAGGATGATGCTTTAACCGCCTTTTCTCAAGACTCTCTCTGGTCCTCTCTCCCCTGCTGCCATTTTTTTAATTTAAATTTGTTGGTATAACTTTAGTTAATAACAACATATGTTTCAGGTATACAGCTTTATAATACATCATGTGTATATTGCACTCTGTGTCTAGTGCAATAAGGTCTAGTCTCCTTCCGTCACCGTATGTTTGACCCCCGCCCTTCTTCCCCTGTGGTAACCACCATGCTATTATCCATGTGAGTTAGTTTGTTGCTTTTTGTTTTATATCCCACATATGAGTGAAATCATATGGTTCTTGTCCTTTTCTGTCTCTGACGTTTTTTAAGCAGTTATTTTGCAACCACTCCAGCAATACCCATGCAGATAAAAATCTAATTGTATGCAACAAAAATAGTTGAGACATTCCTCATGGGAAGGTAGCGCGAAGGGCAGTGTTTCCACATTAAGCATCAGGTTTTGCGTCACATGCAGCTGTTTTCATGGACTCTTCCTGCCCCTCAGCAGATACCTTACATTCTTCCTAAACACCCCCGCTATTTCCAGGGAGACCTTTCATCATTTACTAGATGCTGTAAACATGCTCCGGAGCCCCGCAGCCCCACTTGCCTGCCCCCACACGCTCCTTTTCTTAGCAGAGGACAAGAGCAAGCCCAGGATTAAGTTCAGGAACAACAGGATGTGTGTCTGTCCCTCTTCTTCCTCTGTGGCTTGTGTGGCCAGGTCAGCAGAGACGGCAGCTGTCATTATGCGCCGGAACCATGAGGTTTCCTTGCATGTATGGATATGGGAATTTCTGAATGCCTGGGTTGTTTATTTGTTTTGTAATAATTTAGAATTTTGGAATCTTTGAGTGGCAGGATTTTCCCTGGGGTTGGAATCCAGCTGCTTGCCTGGTTGAGAAAGATTTCTACTTGTGTTTGAACCCTTTTGAGGATACTGTTCAGAGGCTCCTGTTGACGCCGTGTCACTGCGGTTAGAAAACCTCCTCCCGGGGGCCGAGATCTTCCCTCCCCGCAGCTCCTCCCCTTGGAGGAGCCCCACAGGACGGGCCTACTCCTTCCTTCAGACAAAATCTATCCTGTCTTTTCAAACCATGCACCGGACTTGTACTGAGTATCTGCTACACATATGCTCGGTGGGTAGGCAGGGGCCTGGCAAATGACATCCTTCAGAGAGCTTGCAGTGCTTGGGGACATGAGGTGGGTCAGAAACTAACACTGCCAGGCCAACAAAATGAGGGTCAGAGAGACGTTCAAGTATTCTTTCTGGGGTGTGGAAGAGGGCATAGTTTGACATCGGGGTGTTAAAGGTTTCTGGGAAGCAATGGCAACCAATTTAGCTTTAATGAAGGACAGATGGAGGGTGGTGGAAAGTCAAGTGATGGTTATTCTCGGCTGAGGCGATGGCTGTAGCACATGTATTGAGTCTCAGAATAGGAAAATAGATGCCACATTAGAGGAACCAGAAGAAGCCTGGGTTGACTCGGGAACAGGGCTTTTGATGGAGTATTTGCAGGGAGTAGCTGGTCACAAAGTAGACTTCTTTCAGTTAACGTTGCTAATGCCTTGGTTTCTATTCAATACCTCCCTTACGGCTCTGGCTGTCCAGGTCTCATTCTGTGTTGTCTCAATAGCCTCCTTAACATATGACTCCTGATGGAAGACACATATTCTCTTCCCATCCCTGTGGCATATATTGGTGTCAGTACCTTCCTTGATGAAAGTACATTCTCAGTGCTTTAGGGACAAACGTTCTTGGTAGTTACACCAGATGTCACCATAAAGTATAGGACTACTTTTTTTCCTGTTTATTGTTGTTGTTACTGTCTTGTTTGTTTGCATTATTTTAATAAATTTGTCAACTTGATAGAGTAGAAAGGTTAGGGCTCCAAATCGCAGCTCCTACTCCTACTAGTTGTGTAAGTTCAGGCAAATAGCTTCCTCTCAGAAACTCGGTTTCCTTATCTATAAATCGAAGGTGATAATCATAATGCAAAGATTTATAACATGTGCTGGTACCTTTTTCAGTACTTCACATTTCTTAACTCATTTAGTCCTGTTAGGTAGCTACTATTATCCTCATTTTGCAGGTAGGGTAGACAAAGACACAGAGAGATTAAATAACTTTCCCAGAACTGCACAGTCAGTGATTGGCAGAGCTGGGATTTGAACCCAGGCACTCTGATTCCAGACTCCAAGGTCTTAAACACTAAACTGTACCAGCGTGTGTGCCCTTTTGAAGAGCTGAGTGAGAAAACGGTTGAGAAGCGTCTGGTGCAAGTATGTAGTAGGGGCTTCATAATGGTCAGCTCCCTTCGCTTTCTCCCGCCCTTTCCTCCATCACCGCCCTCACCCTTTCCAACCTAATGTCTGACTACTTTTTTTCATAGAACCTTCTACTCCGCTGAGGCTTGTTTGTCTTCTGGCTGCCGAATACAGTTTGCACGTTCTCTTTGTTGTTCATGCCACTTCCCCCAGAGTCCCTCCAGCTCATCCCCCAACCCTCACGGACTTTGGTGAGTTTTACCTCCTGATCCTTCATTTCATGCTTCCCATAGTCGTGGGACCCTACGTAAAGAAGATCCTCTGCGAAGAGCTAGGCGCACCTGCAAACTCGGCAGTCAACTGCGTTCCCCTGGAGGACTTCGGAGGCCACCATCCTGACCCCAACCTCACCTACGCAGCGGACCTGGTGGAGACTATGAAGACGGGAGAGCATGATTTCGGGGCTGCCTTTGACGGAGATGGGGTAGGGACAAGTGCATTTCAGTGAACTCAGATGCGGGCCAGCCCTGGTCCTACGGAGGGGGAGGAAGCGGGCTGCGTCTGCCAGACCCTGTGGGCCTAGGGAGTGAGAGTAGGGGCCTACCATGGCTCCCGGGGTCACGGGTCAACTGTTAGAAGATTCTCTCACACAGAAGTAAGAGTCCTTGAAATTAACCGATATTTTAAATTTCAGACACGCATGTTTGCTAAGAGTGGCAGGGTGACTAGAGCCTGTTTATGATTGAGTGCGTACTGATTCCTGAGCTGGTTGGGTTCTAGGCACCCATCCTCAAGTAGATTTCTGCTCTCAGGTAGCAGCTAGCTTCTCATTTAATCTCTGGATAGGATTCTGAAAATATAATATACCCCTTCATTTGTTCACATTCGCTGAATGATGGAACTATCATGAGAGAACTAACCTTTAATTCCTTCTCTATAATTAATATGTTTATTAATGCTGGCTGTTTTATTTACATTGGTGAACATGTGCCAGGCAAGAAGGAAATGTGTTTTAGGTTTGTATCCTCAGTACCTCAGAGACAGCAGGCACTATATGTGTTTACTTCATTGAAAGTATGTTTTTGTTGTTGCTCTTGTTCTTTTTTTTTAAAGATTTCATTTATTATTTATTTTTAGACAGAGGGGAAGGGTGGGAGGAAGAGGGAGAGAAACCCCAATGTGTGGCTACCTCTCGCACACCCCCTACTGGGGACCTGGCTGGCAACCCGGGCATGTGCCCTGACTGGGAATCCAACCGGCGACCTTTGGTTCAAAGGCCGGCATTCAATCCACTGAGGCACACCACTAGGGCACTGTTGTTCTTTAATATCAGCTAGGTTTCGCTGTTTCCTGAAAAATAAACTTTCCCATATCAAACTTCAGGGGCGTTCAAGGGGTCCATAGCAACCACTATTTGCAGTGCCTCTTTCTGAGGCAGTGCCTGATGGGAGTTTCTCTCCTCCGTACTCAAGCACTTGCTGTGTGCCAGGCGCCAAGGAAGCAGGGAAGGTGGCAGCAGGTTTTGTTGAGTCCCGCGTCTTGAAGAGGTCTGCTTTGTTCTTTGAAGGATGCCTGACAGACCTACCAAACTGTATAGACAGCCAGCATTTCCATGTTTGTTTCTATCTCTCCTGTTCTGGGGGGGAGGTGATTGGTTCCAGAGTTTGGAAAAGGTCTGGGAGGTTAAAGTCAGTTGGCCTCCGGAGGGAGAACAGAGTAGTCGGTTGAACAGAGTCTGCACTTGCACTTTAATTGAAAACAGTGCTGGCTCTTTGGCCTGTACTGTACAGATCCATCAGCAACAAAATCCAGTATTTAGAACCCACTATGAATAAAGGTATCCATTTTAAATTTTATAATTTAAAACTTAAATTAAAGCTTAAATGTTATCCTCCCAACCCCCATGTAGGATAGTTTGGTTTCTTCCACAGTCTGACTAAAAGGTCTCCCTTGAACCCCGCTTTTCTCAAAGGATCGAAACATGATTCTGGGCAAGCACGGGTTCTTTGTGAACCCCTCGGACTCCGTGGCCGTCATTGCTGCCAACATCGTCAGCATTCCGTATTTCCGGCAGACCGGGGTCCGCGGCTTTGCCCGCAGCATGCCGAGCAGCGGAGCCCTGGACAGGTGGGTCTCTCCGCTGCCTGGGCCCTCAGCAGGCTTCGGTGCTTGGAACGCGGGTCCTCCCCTTTCAGCCAGGACACCTGATGCACAGTAGGTGCTAAGTGTGTTTATTTTAGGAAGGAATGGGTGGCGTTTCCTTCTGAATTAGATGTCCCCTCTCTGGGACCCCTGAGCACCCTGCACATCTTCCATCCCACCACACGCCACACTGTGTTCTGATAGCCTTTGTACCCGACCGTGTGCCTGGCTAGACTGCAAACTTCTACAGAGGGAAGACCAACTCTTTTACTCTCCTAAACTCTGCCTGACCACAGAGTGCCTAGCTCACAGATAATAGGGGACACACACGCAGTTTAAAAACCGAATGAGTGAAGGTTCGTGAATACATGAATGGGTGGCACTTCCACTGGAGCCAGGACATCGTTCCCGAGAACCACTGTCCTTCAGCAGTGTAGGGGTTTGGGTGAGAGAGCAGTTTGAAGTAAGGTTAGTATTTCGAGAGGACTTTCAGAGACTTTCCTCGCCCATCCCCGGTCAGATGCTCGTGCACAGACAGACACAGGAAATGTTCGTTCATCCAAATTGAATGAAACTGAAAGCTCAAATAGTTAGAAAAAAGTACATTCAGTTTTTATGAGAAATAAAGGACCCAGTGACGATAAACTGTTGATACAGAGATATTTGCTTATTTATTTATCATATATAACTTCATTTACAAAGGCTTTAAGGTGGCTCATAAGTTCACATCTAAAACAACTGAAAAATATCAGTGATAAATATACATAACCGGGGAGAACACATTAGGTGCCCATTCAATGGTTGCTGACTGAGTGGATAAAGAACAAGTGAAGACCCGGTAGGAAAGCAGAACATACATATCTAGGCTCTGATAATAATAACTAGACACTACATACTTGATATGTTTTAAGTCATTAATTTCCAGACCAGTCCCATGGGGTAAATGTTATATATAAACCCCACTTCACAGATGGGAAAACAAAAGGGACAAAGAAGTTAAGTGAGTTGCCCAAGGTCACCCAACTAGTAAATGGTTGACTCAGGATTTGAACCTGAAATCTTTGCTCATAACACTGGGCCATGTAGTAGCTTCCTATTGCACGTGCATGCGCTTGTGTGTGTGTGTTGCAGAATAGAGCTGACTTCAGCTAGCAAGAACATAATGTCCAATGTTTACAGAGTGGTTCGTGGTTTACACAGTGCTTTTTCACATTCACCATCTCAGTTGATCCTCACAGCAGTCCTGATTTTCAAGAGGAGAGAACCAAAAGAAAAGTTAGCTGTCTTGTCTAGCATCCTGCACTAAATCAGAGCTAGAATCAGAACCTGGGGCTTCTGCCTCTGCATCTACCTGAAGTCACGAGCTGGTTTGTGGCCTTGCTATTGTACTTTCGACCTGTCAGGTCCTGAGATGCCTGCAGTGTCATCGCAGGTCAGTGTAATTCTGCTTTCTGAAAAAAATGATAATCCACATATAGAATCACAATGGAAATACCTCATTACCCAGATAAAACTCTGTTGTACTTTCACGGTTTTCAAAATCATGGATTTATTTTTCTTCAGATATTAGAATCAAAACATGACAGTGTTCTGCTAGCAATAAGGCAGGCATTCTGGAAAGGGAAAAACATCTGAAAGAAAAGTCCCTTAGAGAAGTCTTTAAATAATCTAAAGATACGTAGGGAGAAGTAAATGATGTGTTGGAGGGTCCAGGGACCACGCATCCATGTGAATGAGCTGGTGCAAATGGCGCCGCCCGCTGGGCACTGCCCCGGCCAGGCCTTCTGGTGAGAGGAAAGGCACAGTGACGGGGCAGCTGGTCATCCCGGCTCTGTGACCTTGGGCTGGCCACCTAACACTCTGCACCGTTTCCTCTGTAAAATACTGACCTCCGAGACCCTGTATTTTATTGTTTTGTGTTTGTAAGTACATCAAAACATCATTCTTTTGTTCTGTATGGAAAGCTTAGAGATGCTGATTATATCCAAAACACTTGCGTTCAAATAGCCCCCAAACAGCCTTGTGCATTTTGCTACTGTTGCTTCTTCTAGGATATTAAAGTCAGTGACCTGAATTAATTCTTTCTTCTTCCTCTTCTGCCCCCTCCTCTGAGTCCACATAGAATAGCCCATTGTGCACAAGTTTTCTCTTATGATTTCCCACCAAACTTAGGATTGTATATACCTCTGAGCAATGCTAAATGGGCCCCTTGATTACAATAATGGTGGCTACTTTCCGTCCCTCCCATGGCTGCGCTAACAGTCCTGCTGTGATGTAACTTTGATTTCATGCCTTTGAAGGGTGGCTAATGCTACAAAGATCGCTTTGTATGAGACCCCCACTGGTTGGAAGTTTTTTGGGAATTTGATGGACGCAGGCAAACTGTCCCTTTGTGGGGAGGAGAGCTTCGGCACCGGTAAGTGCGCAGCAGGCCTGCGCTCCCACTTTTCCTGTAAACACTACCTGCAGTGAAAGCTTAGACTGCCAGGGCCGCACTGAAATAGCAGCGGTAGCTGATGTGTCCTAAATCAAGATACAATTTATTTATAACAACCCCGATGAAGTGTACACATTTGAAAAGCAGTGAGCACGTTCGGCCAAGGAGAGCTAATTTTACTTTCAGGAGGATCACATCTACTGAGACAGGAAGTTTGGGGGCCTCCTTGGCAGCCTGGTTATTGAGTCTGTGGGGATTAAACAGTGATAAACATATTTTTCTTCACTCAGTGGTCAAGGAAACCTTTATAAATGTTTTCATTTCTGGGAAGAAATATAGTGGAGCAAGTCAGTTTTTCATTTTTATTTAAGGGAATGTTTCAGCACAGCATTAAATCATTTTCTTTAATAGGCCCAGGTTTTCTGTAGCAAAGAGTTGTGATTTATTGAGGTTAAATGAAGGGAGACCATTAGGGTGGAACTAAGTGATCAAGAAATTGAAACTACGTTCTTGACCATGAGGATGTTTGCGTAAATCGTGTCCCCATGAAGGAGTGCAGCGTGGCACGCTCGGGGGGATGTCCCAACACCCCCAGACCCCACTTTCTGTGCTGTCCCTCCTGTTTGCCTGCCCAGTATTGACCTGAATTCCCACCTCTTATGGCATCACCTACCACCCCATCCTGCCTACGTCAATCTCTCTTTCTTTCCAGTTAGGCATGTGGCCATTTTCCAGGTGTTAGTCTCCAGCTAGGTTGCAAGGTACTTCAGTGGGTATATTTCTTCTCCACCTATTCTCTCAAACTGATATTTTGAAATAAAAGGACCAACCTTCTTTGCCCTTCAGTAGAGTACTGAAGTACTCTACCTCCAGTCTTTAGCACAAAAAAGATCAGAATCTAGCGTTCTGTAAGTCTTGGGTAGAAATTTTGAGACATCTATTTACAAAGTTCGAAGTGAATCAATATCCTCCAATGAGCAGCAATACCTCTTAAATAATGAATTGGCTTGATAGAATCGGAGGGTGTTAAGAAAGATGAATGAATTGTGATGTTAAACAGCATCCACCAAGAAGGCTAGGTGATTTCCCAAGGTTCTAGTTGTTTGGTCAGAGAATACAAAGGCACTGCTTAGTCCTTTCCTACCTCATTAAGTATGGACAGTGCAGCATCAATCCACAGGACACTGGGGACACTGGATGGATACCCAACGAACCTGTAAAGTGGTCTTGTCCCATGCAACTCCCCCTAGTGTTACCCAGTGCAAGCTTGGTACCAGTCATTCTTCTTCATGCATGAAGCTGTCTTTGATGGCAGACACCACGTCCAAATTTTTGTTTTCTAGTCCCATGTACCTATTTCAAATGCTGAGGCTAATGAAAGAAAAAGTCTAGAACAAGACTTCCTGGCGTGTTCGGAAGGATGCTAGTTTCAGGAGAGTGTTCTGAGTTCAGTGAAGACTGGGAAACTTGGAAACACCTTCTTGTCTTGGTGCTTCACAATGGAGTTCTCATTTGGTTTCCAAGACATTCTAGTGTAAGAAATCCTGTTCATAAGTTTTATCTAAACATAGTTAACTGCTTATCTCTATTTTTTATCATATATCTAGTAACATTTTGCTCCACAGACTCGTGTGGGAATCACTGGTCAAGGTAGGTCAGAGCCTGGAGCCCGCTAGGTATCCCTGGTATTGACTGGCTGGGACCAGGCCTGAAGACAGGACGGCACATGCCGCTCCCCTCTCGTGTGACAGGCCTTCAAATGCTGGAAGGCAGCCGTCAGGTTCTCTCCGCTCCAGGCCACCTCACTTCACATTATCTAGCCGCCGACACCAGCGGCTTAGATGCTTCCAGTTCACCACTGCTCCTCTTAGAAAGTCATGTCCAGAACCGAGTGCAGGTCCTCCAGGGCCGACCAGACAGGTAAAGAATAGAGTAGGGTGTTTGTTTTCAGCGAACTGGGCTCTCTACTTTGCTTGATATAACTTCTGTTTATGTTAGCTTTCAGGACATCTTATAATACTCATTGGCCCATATAATATTGTAGATAATTAAACTCCTTTAGGTTTTTGCTCAGGAGCATTGGTCAAGAAAAGTCCCCCATGTTACACTGTGGAACTGATTTTAAATCCAAGTATTAGACTTTAAATTATTCCTTGTTAAAGTTTGTTCTTGTTTACTCATTAACCGACTCAGCAAATACTGAGTGCCAACCATCGTTCTGTCTTCCCTTAGATAACTTTTTTTTTTTACACACAGAGAGATTTCATCATGAGAAGAATCCACAAACTCTTTCTCTCTCTCTTCAGAGAAAAAGAAGATCGCACTGTACCATTTCTGAGATAGCAGTTTAGAAACCAGACTGGACAGCCATAGGTCTCCACTGCCATGAATGAGTGCAGCTGAGTTTACTTAATTTAACTTCTGATCTTCTAACTTAATAGAGGAGTTAATTTCTACCTGCTAGGTCCCTTGATGGCAATTGTCTTTAAAAATATGTTTTTTTAAAAACAAAGATTTATTTTCAGAGGGGGGAAGGGAGGGTTTTCAGAGACAAAGGAAGAGAGGGAGAAAGAGAAGGAGAGAAACACTGATGGGCCACCTCTCATACTTCCCCAGCTGGGGACCGCAACCCAGGCATGTGCCCTGACCAGGAATTGGACTGGCGACCTTTGGTTCGCAGGCCAGTGCTCAGGCCACCGAGCCACACCAGCCAGGGCATTTGGCAGTTCCTTTATAGAGTTTCTCAGGGTCGACATTGGTGATTCTACAAGCTTTGAAATGTTTGAATTCTGTAGCTTAATTGAGTATGGGTCAGTTATTTCTGTATTTTTTTCAGGTGAGAACAGAGACAATTTCTCAGCAAAGCCTCCCTAACCTTCTGGAGTAGGTCAAGTCACCTGATTTTTGGCTTTCATGGCATCATACACTCTCCTTTGTCACAAGTATTGTAATAGCTGTAATTTTACAGTTACTTATGATTACTTGATTAATGTTAGCTCATGAGGACAGGAGTCACACGTGTTTTATTCTCCACCATATCCTAGAGCTTCCTGTAAAGCCCAACATATAATAGGTGCTCAGCAAACACTCGCTGAATGAATGAGAGAACACACTGTTCGCTTGGCACCCTCTATTGAGACAAACAGAATCCTGGTATCAGAAAGGAGAGGACTCTAAAAGTCACCTAATTAATCTCCTACGTGTTGCTGGAATCATAAGTGACCGACTCAGTGCTCTTCTGCTTAAACACCCACCTCCACGGAGAATTCCCACCTCACCTCTTGCAACAGTTTGCAACTTTTATGGGGACTCACCGTCATTCACCACCACTCACATGCCAGAGTCCCAAGTTGGGGACCCAAGGTCTTTGTGTGAAAAGATGAGCTTTTATAAAAGAAAAGGGGAAGTTTTCTTGCCAAGAGGTGCAAAGGAGCCAGACTTTAGAAGAAATGGCTCACCAAATAAAACAAACCACTAGCATTTAAAAGCCAAGCCACAATATTACTAAGGTTACCAACTATACATTAGTCTGTTTATGTTGGAGAAACATTAGCCATCTCACATGATTATCGTAGCCACCAAGGCTGGGACACTTCCCCCAACACCAGCATTACAGATGCCAGGCGTGAAGGTGTTTTTTTGTTAAGGACTCAGAAATGTACACTAGTACTAGACAGCATGAACCTGTTATTTTTGGTTGATCTCATGGTGTAAAGTTGTTTTTCCCCCTAACTGGATGATCATGTGCATGTTTATACACAACAGAGGAGGTCAGAGTGGTCAGTTCTGTCTCACCTTGAACTTACTGGGAAATTGGGAAGGAAATAAAGTGAAGCCATGGAATAGAATAGAATAGAATAGAATAGAATAGAATAGAATAGAATAGAATAGAATAGAATAAAAAAGAAAAGAATGTCACTGCTTTTGAAACTTTTCCTCAGAAAAATGGGGCTTTGGGGAAAGGCATAGGAAACCAGGTTGAAGATCAACTTGATATCCTATGGAAATATGCCAGTACATCGTGACCTGGTCAGGTCTAGAAGTCAGCCACAACTTTCCCTGCCCCATCTTTAAAAGGCTCCAGTGATGATGCATCCTATAGGAGCACTAACTTGAAGAAGCACAGCATTCATGCTTTGCAAATTTCTTTTAATTTTAACCTCCATGAAAATACTTTTATATTTGTACCTCTTTTCATCAGTTCATTGCTCAGATGGTTATTGAACTTCGGCTGTGTCCCAGATGCTGGGTTACGCTGCGGGGACACAACGTTGTCCTGGTGGAGGGCTCTGTGGAGTCCATATTTGGGGAGGGAAGTCGGATCCCGGCTGGTTGTTACACATATGCAAAGTGATAGGAGACAAAGTACAGGGTGCTCTGGGAGCTTTATACTCAAGGGATTTAACTTGTTTCTGTGGTGTAGAGAATCAGATTTTCTACGTAGTTCTCTGCCCATTTTCATTTACTTATCTCTTAAGTGCATTTTCTTGTAGGTAAAGCCATCTCCCCATCTCTGGAGATCTCCCAGAGAGAATACCCCAATAGAACTAGGCTAATACTCCAATTATAACTAAGTTAAACTGTTACCTGCACATCTGTCTCCCTCACCTGTATGTCTGTGCTCAGCTGTGAGGGCAAGGAATATGCGTTACTAGTCTCGGTATTGTCTCATGTGCTTAGAACATGGAAGGCACTAATTCATATTTGCTGGGTAAAAGATGGAGTTAAGACACACTTCCTGCCCATCAGCATACTGCCTTTCTTGAAAGGAAACAAAGTTCCGGGAGCAGTCTCAACGCAGTCCAGGATTCATTGCCAAATGGAAAGTCTGAGGGCGGATGAGGGGGAGCCCCTGAGGCTGGTATGATCTGGAAAAGGCTTCCTGAGGAGCTTACCTGGCCTTTCAGAGTGAAGTCCTTTGTGCAGTAAAAAACAAAGAGGACAGGATTGTGGGCCCAGCAGGTCACTGAAACTCCCAGTCAGGCAACTGGGGTCTGAGCATTCTTTGGGTAAACGTTATTGAGAGCTGACTGTATGCCAGGCATCAGCTAGGTACACAACTCATAGTCCAGGGTCAGGGAGGAAGACCCAGGCTGCCACAGACTATGGGTGAGCACAAAGGCTGAGAAGGAAGGCATCCTGCATGAAGAGTGAAGTTTAAAGTAATTGCAGAAGATGTTAGCCAGGTGTATGTGGGGTAGAAATTTCCAGGCAGAGAGAATGGCATGTGTGGGAGACTTCAGGAGAGAGAGAAATGGGCTGAGGAACAGAGAGAGACAGAAAGATAGAAAGACGCTGTAGCTTTTAGAGAACTCCATGTAGCTCTTTTAGCTGTCACATCCCCATCTGCAGGCCTGCTGCCTAGAAGGGGCAAGAGCTGGGTCCCTCCTGAGATGCCCAGACTTGTCAATGGAACCTAATCCCCAAACCCTTAGCTCTTGGCTCCCTCAGCAAGGGTTGACATTTTTCTTGGCTGAGGCCCAGAGTATGCCCTGACTGAGCCGAGTTTATACTTATCACAAGGTGCTGATTAGGCCGAAGTAAAGTGACAGGTGGTTGGAGATGCTGAGAGAGCAGAATTCGCATGTGCTCAGTTGGTCCCTGAGCTGGACCAAGCTTGAAGAGAACTATGCAAAACCCGCAGCCACCTTTGTGTTGGCCGTAACCAGTGGTGCTGCCAACAGTGCTCTCCCTTTTCCACAGTCAAGTGAACTTGACTTCGTTTACTTTGTTGTTGTTTTTTTTTTCATTAAAAAAGCATTTCAGTAACTTGCATTTACAATAGGAAAATTAGAGAAGGAAGAAGAGAAAGATATTGCAATCCCACTGCCCAGAGAAAAGAGCACATTGGATTGTATTCTTTCATTTTCTTCCCCAATATGTACAGTTAGAGAACATTATTTTTGGAAACTTAGATAGTGGAAAACATAAATTTTTCTCAAGAGTTTTTCTATTTGTTGCCTTAGTCACAATGGTATCTTGTATTTACATAGGACTTACCAGTTTACAAAACATTTCCACTCTCTATCAGAGTAATGTCTTACAACTGTGTGCAAAAGGTGGCTTTATCCCCATTTTATAGTTGAAGAAACTGAGGCTTCGAAAAGTTAAGTGACTTGTGCAAATTTCAACAGCTTCTAGGTAAGAAGAACCTCAGATTTAGGTTTTCTGACTTAAGTATAAAGCATCTCCCATTGAACCACAACTGCCACAATTGTAAAAACAATAGCTTTAGAGAAACACATATCATTGCCTTTTTTTCACTAGTAACTTGTCATCATTCCTGTGAACCCTAAAGAAAATGCAATTTACCCAGACTTCCTGAATATGAGTCAGAGTTAGAGCTCTGATACATCCAAAATGATTAGTGAGATTAATCAGAATTTCCAAGAGACTGAGGATCATACAAGCGGAGTAGAATATTTGTTTATGTTATCCAAGGTAGGCATTTTGTTTATAATGGTAGATATGTGATTGAATTATCTTCAGGTAACTTGATCTGAGTTGGGTATAATTTTTAGATTTTATTTTTATTTTCACATAAAAGATAGCTAAATTCTTTATTCAGAGCCGGAAGAGAACAAAGGAACATCGCCCCTGTACTTTCAGTCTAGCCGAAAGCCAAAAATAAATAAATAAATAAATAAATAAATAAATAAATAAATAAATAAAAGGAAGGAAGAAAAAACCTCAAGGGTGCACAGACGAATAATTTCAACTTATACGCTTCTGTGATGAACTCCAAGTGCAGTGGGGAAGCTGCCAGGGTCTTGCTTACCAGGACAAACTCTTGCCAAAACATATCATCCTTTGCAAAATCTTGAAGAGTCGGAGAGCTAACGTTTTCTTCTTTGAAATAGTAGTAAAGGCAAATAAAAATCCGTAGATAATAAAATTAAGTAAACATTTCCAAAATATGTTATATAAAACACTAAAAGCCTTGCTTAATATCTCTAGTGTTGCCAGCATTCAGGTTTTAAGAACTGTTGTTTCTGAAACCAGTAACTTATTAAAAAGAAAATCTTTTGAAAGAAAAAGTTGCTGTGTTTTTATGAATCAATAGAAAAAATGTTGGAGTAGGTTAATTAATTGATTAGCTTATTCATGAACTTCAAAATTAGCTATCTATACTGTATTCTATGTACAGTGTTAATTAGTAGACTTAGTTACAAAAATTAAAATAAGAGATGCTTCCAGGAAATATTTGGTTCATGGAGTGGAAGACTCATAAATAAATGATTGAGGCTCAAGGAGAATGGAATTTTACTGGATATTTCGAGCAGGTCACTGTAGGAGAAGAGAGAGAAAGTAGGTCATAACTGCCTAGGGAAGCTGGGAGCTAGTCTCAAAGACAAGAGGCCACTTGAGCTGGGTGTCAAAGGATGATGAGGGGAAGATTGTCCACTACCTAGCCAGCATTGTGCTAGATACTTTAGAAGTTCTAAGAGGAATAAGACCCAGTGGAGAGTCAAGAAAGACCCAGTGGAGAGTCAAGAAAGACAGACACATAAATAATTCAAGGCATGATAATATGCAAAGCACTATTAGAGAGTGGTTGTATGAAGTCCTATTCAAAATCAGAAAGTAGAGTTCAACGTTGTCTGCTATTTTTATAGAATAAGGAAGTTAATGGCAAAAATGAGAGTTTTGTTCTACATCAGGCTCTTGGTAAAGCACCTCCTTGCGTATGAGCACATCTAAAGGAGTCAATTTGCTATTTTGGATAAAGATTTTGGCAAGGAACTTAGCAGGAGACAGATGTGCCATAGCTTATTTAACCAAGTTCCTATTGATTGAAGAAAGATATCTTAAAATTGGAGGAGCTGGATTGACAAGTAGGTCCATTTTCAGGGCTTTACTAATTTTTGCCAGATTGCTCGCTCTCCAGGAGGACTGTGCCCTCCCCACAGCAGCATGCGGGAAGCCCACCTCCCTAGGTATTAGGTTTTGTCATTTTTAAATCTGTGGCATTTTGTCAGGCAAGTAGCAGTTTCTTATTGTGGGTTTAACTTTATCTTCTCAAAAACAATGCCAGATATTTATCATATTAATTGGGAGCCCTGCATTTTTTTCTTTAGTGAATTGCATACTTTTATCCTTGGCCTGTTTTTCTGTTGAGGTTTTGCTTTTCTTCTTGTTAATACATAAGGATTTTTTTTTCTATACTGAGGATATTAAGTGTCTATATTGCAAATGTGCTTTTTAAGGTTTGCAAATGATCTTTTAATTTTATCTGTAGTAGCTTTGCTGATAGAAATTCTGTTTATTTATTTATTTATTTGTTTGTTTGTTTGTTGTTGTTCGGTTATAGTTGCCCCGCCTTTTTCCTCATTGGTCACCCCTGCCCTGTTCCCCCCTCCCACAGTCAATCCCCCTCATTGTCCAGAAATGCTAATTCTTAAGAAGATGAATACATTGTTTTTTTAAATGAATTCTTAAGTTATATATATATTAATTACATCCAAGATTTGTAAAAAAGCATTTATATATATTTTTTAGTGTTTAAAGTTTCCAATTTCTACATTCGAATGTGTCATCTATCTAGATTGTTTTTGTGTGTTTTATAGAGAAACAAACCTGAATTGTTTTCAACTATTTAGCTAGTTAACCAAATACTATTTAAACAAATAATTCATTCCTTTCCTACACAGCCTTGAAGTGGCATCCTTTTCATATATTCAAGTCTCATACAGCTTTAGGTCTCTTTATAGGTGTTTCATTTTGTTCCATTATGCTACCAGATTATTTTAATTATTAAAATTTATAATGGTCATATTCTCTGCTGTTTATTTATTTAAGATTTCTTTTCTCCCACTCACATTAATACTTTATTATTGATATGTCAAGTTGCACCAAATTAGTCGACTTACATTTTAATTGGCATTTGCCTTTAAGTTTTAAATTACTTCAGGAAGCATTGACTTCTTTTCAATATTCTGTTGCTTTATTTAATATGTGACTCTTTCCATGCATTCAAGTTCCTCAGTAAAATGTTATGACTTCTTTGGCTGGATCTACATGTTTACTGTTGAGTTTATTCCCAAGTATTTTGGAGAAATCACGTTTCTCACAGCTGCTGGCTCTTCCCCCACCAGGTTCTGACCACATCCGTGAGAAAGATGGACTCTGGGCCGTCCTCGCATGGCTCTCCATTCTAGCCACTCGTAAACAGAGTGTGGAGGACATTCTCAAAGAGCACTGGCGGAAGTATGGCCGGAATTTCTTCACTAGGTGAGTCCCAGCCTGGTTTGGGTATGAGGTAGGGTGGAGAAGCGGGCAGAAGGAATTCTTGTGCACACCAATTCTTTCCTGTCTTAACTGGCCGTAAAACTCTGGTTCATCCAGCTTCTGCCAAGTGAGGATTTTCAAAATAATGAAGTTGGGGTCACAATGAAGTCAGCCTTTATGTCATCTATAAAGAATGAGGTTTACAAAATTTATTTAATATTATTCAAAAGAATAAATGTTTTTTAAAGACTTTTAAATGTACCTATCAAGGGGACGTGATAACAGCATTGGATTTAGATTCAGAAAAATTGATTCAAATTTTATTTCTGCCTCTCAGTAGATTGGGAAGTCATTTAACCTCTCTCTGTACTCAGTTTTCTCATATGTAGAAATGGAGATAACAGTCCACCTATTGAGTGAATTAAATGAAATATGAACCTGAAAATGTGTTAATAAACTCTGGGGCACTAAAAGTATGGAAACTTTTTTTCTGAAATTATGGAAATGACTATGCTTAGTCCAAATTAATTTTTCTGACTCCTTAAAATAGGTCCCCAAAGGCTGTGTACCTGTCAATACTTTGTCAATACTTCATGCATTGATTCAACAAATATTGACTGTGTACCTGTTTTCCGCAAGGCACCGGGGATTCAGTAGTAAACAAAAATACTTCAAATACTTAGTAATTCTTCTTTACTATGCATACTTCTATTTTTTAAGCACTTTCTTTTTTTTTCCTCAGTACTGTTTTTCATTAATTTCAATTTGACTTTCCCCCCAGTAAGTGTAAAAATCTAACAAAATTTTTCCTGGACCTCAGTATCCTAATTAAGGAATTAAATATGAGAAAAAATATATTAGGTAAATTGTTTATCTGTAAAAACTATATAGTTGTAATTTCTCTGGACCTCAGTTGCCTTTTCTATAAAATAGGTGAGTTCAAATAGGGAATTGAAAAAATATATCACAGATTTAATAGTCCATGTTCTCTGGATTGTCAAGAAAGAATTTAATCTTAAGCAACTTGACCTCCTTCATGAGAATTCTTTCCTCACCTTTGGACAAGTTCATTGTTATCTTCTTCCTTCGAGTTAATTCTTTTGTGGAAGGTATAGGTAATAACTGCCACATGGTAGCCCTGGGAACCAAGGCAAGAATCTTTACTTTCTAAGAACCAGAAAAACCTGGTAATTGAGAACAGCAGCCGTGAACTCTCTAGAGCATAAAGAATCATGAAAGCAGAACCACTTCTGTTTTTGTGCTCAGTGGCATCACCAACACCTAACTCATAGTTGACACTGCAGATACGCTTTGAGGAGACAAATGAATGAGTTAACAAGGTGGAATAATGTTAGGAGGAGTTGTTCAGAGAATGGGTCACTCTCGAATGAGTTAGAAGTCTCCATCTAAAAACTACTTTAACAGTTTTTCTTAATTTCAAATAATGGTTCAGCAAGCATTGCAATAAATGTTGCAAATAAGTTCTCAGAGCCTGCATTTATTGCTGGTTAAGTCTCCACTGTACCCTCTGTCGATGGAACAGAAGTGCTAGGTGCTCTTGCACACATTGCTTGATGTTGACCTCAGAACAATGATTAATGAGGCAGCCGAGATCCTGAGAGATGAAGCAACTTGCCCATGGTCAGTCACACAGTCAGTAAGCAACAGAGGCTGGATTCATAGCTTGTCCTGTCTGATTCCAAAGCCCAGATTCTTTCCATTATACCCCTCTGTGCCTAGGATTTATAGAACATTTCCCCTGAACACCCAGAGGTCACAGATGTAAAGCACAAACACCTGGTTGTAATTTCTGGCTCTTTATCATTTTAACTGGGGGAAAGAACTGACTTCAAGATGAAGGGGACTGCTGTCCTTGATTCATAGAATCCTGGAGCCAAAATGGGTCGGCCTCCACTCCCTGGTATTTCTCATGTCTCAGAGGTATCATGTTGCACATATCATATTTGTTCCGCTATTACAAGTAAATACAGACTCTGTTATCCTGAGCCTCTACAAAAAAACTCTCTCAAGAAGGTGTGTCCTGCTAGATCAAGAAAAGCATCCTGGAAGAATCTTTAACCTGAGAGAGAAGTCAAGAATAATTCTTGGAAGAAGAATAGTAATCATTGACTTCGATTTCCAATGCACTTTTTTTTTCTTGTTCCTTTTGCAACTACACCAGGTCACCTCTGTCAGGGTGAACCCAAAGCAGTTTGGATTAAAATCGCCTGTCACTGAAAGGAAGGAGGTGTCTCAGATGTAGAGTTAGGGCTTGGCTCCTTCCTCTGGTCAGCGATGACTTGGCCTTACTTTAGGAAGCTCCTGTGGAGACTGGGACTCTTCTTCACCAAAAGCTCAGCCACCTCGGGCAGGTCCCTGCCTGGGACCTGTGCCAGCACTTATCCCACAGAAGCTCTAGGAGTCTGAAAGAGAAGTTGCCTGAGTCATGAGCTCCTTTATGCAGAGTTCCCAGGAGATAACACTGCTTTTAATTCTACCTCCTCAGGATGTGATGGTTAAACATTAGATAGCATCTCTCAAAAGCCTTTGAAGCTTCTTAGGGCTTTATTCTGTAGAAAAGCCAAGATGGGGGTTTTCTGCTTATTCAGAATCTCCTAACCCTTCCCTGAAATCCTCCAATCCCTTCCTTTTATCCTTGGCCTGCTCCATCCCCAGGGACTGACAGGCTGGTCTTTTTGCCAGCTTCTTCTGAAGTTAGCTGGTCTTGGGACAGGGCCAAACAAATGATGAAGAAAGTGCTGATGTGCGTTGGTGGGATCTGAGGTCGGCCTGTGGGTCTCAGTTTCGTGACTTCTTCCAGGTATGATTATGAGGAGGTGGAGGCCGAGGGCGCAAACAAAATGATGAAAGACTTGGAAACCCTGATATCCGACCGCTCCTTCGCAGGGAAGCAGTTCTCGGTGGGTGACAAAGTTTACACCGTGGAGAAAGTCGATAACTTTGAATACAGTGATCCAGTGGATGGAAGCATTTCAAGAAATCAGGTAGGAACAGATTTATGTGGGTGTAGGAGAGACTCCTCAGGGCTCCATCTCTGAAACATCGAGGAGAAAAGAAAAAGGCCTGTGGTCATTTCTCTCTTGCTGCCCTGTGTTACCTGGGTAGCTGTTCTCAGCTGGCTTTCTGCCGAATCACACCTGACTTGCACACGTACCTACAGGGGAAATGGTTTATGCCCTGGTTCCTTGCACTCCCCTATGCCCTCATTCTGCAGTTCTTAGCCTAGACTCCAGAGGGATTTTTATACTCTCACAGGGATGTCCAGCCTGCAGGCCACATGCGGCTTAAAATGCCTATGAATGCGGCCCAACACAAAACCATACATTTACGTAAAACATTATGAGATTTTTTTTTTGTGATTACATGTTGCAATGCATTTAATGTGTGCCCCAAGGCAACTCTTCTTCTCCCAGTGTGGCCCAGAGACATCGAAAGGTTGGACACCCGTGCATCATATGTAAGATGCGTGTGAGGTGCAAGAAGGAGCCCCAGAATCTAGAGAAAAAGAACTGCTGTGTTAGGGATCAACCTCCCTCTTTTCTCTCAAGAGGTTAGAACAGAAAGCCAGTGTGAGAGTCATTGTTACACACTAATAATTCTAATTTCTCAAAAAAAAAAAAGAGGAAGGAAGAAAGAAAGAAAAAGTAGCCCTGGCTGGATGACTCAGTGGTTGGAGCATCATCCCATACTCCAAAAGTTTATGGGTTCAATTCCCAGTCAGGGCACACACCTAGTTGTGGGTTCAATCCCAGGTCAGGGCCTAGATGGGAGTCAGCTGATCGATGTTTCTCTGTCTCTGTCTTTCTCTCTCTTTCTGTGCTTTATTTCTCCCCCTTCCTCTCTCTCTAAAATCAATAAACATATCCTCAGATGAGGATTTAAAAAAAAGAAGCAGAACTAGATAAGCCATTCACAGAAGCATTAACTGTTATTATCTGCAGCTTGTGACTTGCATCCAACCCCAGCTTCACAGCTGAAGACCTGGACCAGGTCTGGGTGGAGACGTGTGAGTAGCTTGCTGAGGGCCAAGGCCACAGGCCGCGTGAGCCCTTCTCCGGGCTTCTCACAAACACGCAGGGCCCGCGGTCCTCTCTCCTCCGGTTCTGTTGTTGTTACCATAGCATGGACTCCTCTGTAATCATTTAAGGACAGATAATAAAGAGGACGCTGCAGATTCTGTTACAGCTTTCCAGTTTGCGTGTCCCCGATAGATCCAGGTTTTTGGACTGGTTCTTCTCAAGGCATCTGACAGGCTTTGGAGGAACTGGGGTATGGGGTTTATTTACAGTCTCTTTCCGGAGAGCAGGTAGTCGTTGTCACGACTGCCCTCAGTGCGTGTGTTTCCCTTTCTCAAAACTCTAACACAGTGGCTTTTCTTCCTTATGCCTTTTCATCATCTGTGAGAACTGTGGTCCAGTATAGGTGATTGTAAATTATGTCTAACATAATTAGAAAAAGAGAGGCCTGGGGTGAAGGAGGAGAGGTAGGTGCAGAAAAGGGGGGGGTGGGGCCCAGGGGAGGGCAGAGCAGAGGTTGTTGTGGTACAGCCTTCACAGAGAGAACGGACACTTGGGAAAAGTCTCCCACCCTGTCCTGCCTCCAGCAGCTGCGAGGAGGGAGGAGGGCAGCAGAGGGGCGTGGCGGGTGTGGCCATGAGCATGGTCTGCTGTCCGCGCTCTGTGAGGAAGAGGTCAGCAGCTGTGCATTCTATAATAGGAAAGTCTGAGGATTGATTGATTGATTGATTGATTTTAGAGAGAAAGAGGAAGGAAGAGGCAGAGAGGGAAACACTGATTTATTGTTCTACTCATTTATGTATCCATTGGTTGATACTTGTATTTGAAGATCGAACCCACAGCCTTGGCATCAGGATGACACTCTAACCAACTGAGCTACCTGGACAGGGCCAGAGAGTCTGAGTATCTAGATGGAAGACCAGGTAGGAGAGAAAATCTTCTGAAGCAGATGTAGCATCTGCAATCAAGCGCAAAGAATTTAGAAACTTCAGGTTGAAGCTGTGGGAGAAGGAGACCAGTCCTGGTGTGTTTCTAGAGAGCAGGACATGTACCTTGCCACGATGACTTTCCTGGGAATGTCATACATGAATTTCATCTGCTGTCTCCACTGCCGAATGGCAAACCCTGGCTGGGGTTTGGTGACAAATAGCAGATGTGGAGTGGTGCCTTTCCTTCTGGCCAGCCTTTGGCTCTGTACGAAACTCTTCTCTTTATGGAAGAATTCATAAAGATGGATGGGTCCTCGGATAACTGTCTTGTCCAGCCTTCTCACCTCAGGCTGTAGAACATCTACCCGGGAGTTCCTACTTTTCCTCTGAAGCAAGAAGATGATTGAGGATGAGAGATGTGGCCAGGAAGGAGAAGGAGAGGGCAGCAGAGAGAGGGGGCTGGGCTTAGCATAGCACCCACACGGACCCACTGGAGGGAGATTGGCCACCGATCCTGCCTTATAGGTGGGCATGAGCTGGTCTCTGCTGTTCGGAGTGTGCAGCCTCCCATGCTCTTTTGGAGGTGCTCTGCCAGTGTTTTGCAGAGAGTTCTTCCTCTTGTCTGCCCAATACCTCTTCTGCTCTGGTTCCAGCTCTTCCTGTCCTCGTTTCCCTCCTGCAAATTTCTGCTCTAGTAGCTTATTTGTTGACTTGCTTATTTATTTACTGTATCAAGCTTTAAACTGGGACGGTTAGTCCATAAATCAGTGAAGCCAGGAGGGGACATGGGCCCGGTGTCACCAGCCTCCCCAGGATCAAGTCTCCCGCCTGATCCTGCAAAAGCCTCTCCCCCGTGAGTTCAGCCCCTATTGCTTGGGACTGACTGACAGGGCTCAACTGCCACCATTTATCAAGGATCTAAGCCCCTCATTGATCAAGTATAGATGAAATTAGATCCCCAAACGGACCCCTTGTCATTTTGCTAGCCTTTAATCCCCATTCTAGTGTATAAGGGGGACATATCCCTCCTTATCTTTTCCAGGGCATTCGGCTCATGTTTGCAGATGGTTCCCGCATCATCTTTCGACTGAGTGGCACTGGGAGCGCGGGGGCCACCATTCGACTGTATATCGACAGCTATGAGAAGGACGTTGCCAAGATCTACCAGGATCCCCAGGTGACGCCCAAGCTCTGTAGCCTGACTGGTACTTTGTGTTGAAAGGAATAATAGTGGTTACCTCAAACCTGTGTTATTACAGCCCATTTCTCAAATCATCAGACAGGCATGCTCACTTTCCTGCATGTCTCCTTCAGTACGTCATAACAGCACTAATAGCTAACAATTAGTTGAGCATTTTCTGTTTGCCAAGCTCGGTTCTAAACCCATTGTAGGAATATACTCATTTCAGTCGTGAATGAGGTGGATCTATTGTTATCTCTACTGCAGATGAGGACATTGAAGCACAGGAGGGTTGAGCAGCAGTTAGTAGGCTCACATGCCTGGTCAGTGGCAGGTTCAGGGTAGCTAATTTTTAAAGCAGCCCCTCAGCTGGCACTCTGCTCTGTCCCTGATAATTTGCTACTTTGCTTGGTCTGATTGCCTGCCCTGCAAACACACGCTGGTTCTAGATTTGGTGGTGAGGGAGAGTTTCATGACCCGACAAGAAATGCCTTTATGGAAAAGTCAATGGACTTTTCAGTGGACTTGTAGCCTGGCTGTTCGGGTTCCCAGTCTCATCGCAAAAGTCTGCAGAAGTATGTCAGAGTATGGCGGGGTCCCGGGAGCCAGGCCCAGGACAGAGAACTGGAGGACAGACGCCCCAGTGGAGGAGCCAAGGGGGAGCAGTGACATACAGGGTCGAGTGTCCCCATGCGTGCTCCTCATCTTGGCGGGTGCTCCCCAACCAGAGCACCAGAGCAAACATGTCTAGGGAGTGTTGTACGTTAGCCCCTTCTTGGCAATTCATGGCACACAGCACTTCTTAAAGGCTCTGAGAAGACTCCTAGTAGAAACACCTGTTTCAGTAGCAGTCACCGTGCTTATTTCTGCCCAGAGCCTTTCTTCTAACACCCAATTAAAATCCTGTGAAACTCACTTGAAAACCCTGGCACAGTGGTGTCAAGCATACACTTTGGAGTTAGATCTTTCTTTTAATTCAGTGTCTGCCACTTAGCTGTGGTCATTTCAACGTTCTGGGTCTTGGTTTTCTGGTCTGTGCAATGCCAGGATACTACCTACGAGGCAATCGATGCAGAATTCTAAACACCCAGCCTGGCATATAGGATTAGCTTTTGAGAAAGAGTGGCTCTTATATTTGTCTTTATTATGAAAATACAGAGGTAAGAGGACGCTTCACTTTGCATTGTTTCCAGGGCCAGGCTTCAGCTTCAGTCACCGCGAGATCTCTCTTGTGTTGCAGGCATCGCTAAAACTTAAACGAAAGACATGCCTAAAACTCAAAAAATAATAGAGGAAGAGGGAAAAAAGGAAGGAATTGTGTTTCTCTGTCTTAATGCCTAGAACATGGTAGATGCAGAGAATGTATGAAAGATAAGTTTCTTCTGGACCGTGGTCCCGAGCAGGTGGGCGGGTGCCGAAGGGTGCCGGGTGCCCGCAGCACCCAGGTGCACCGCCGTTCCGGTGGGGGCGATGCCTCCGCACACTCTGGAGCTGCCGGGCAGCAGCCTCAGCACTGTGTTGGAGCCCCACAGGGAAGTGGCCAAGGGGTGTGGTCTGCACATGAAGTCGGTTCTCTAGTTTTCACCTAGATAATAGCGGTTGGTGGAGACTTCGATGAGGGAAAGTGACAGCGGACAGTAGAAAATGTACTATTTTGGCCTTGCCCTTGAGTCACTTGGTCAGATCACCTCTCTGGATATCCATCCGTTGCTTCACCTGTAAAATGGACTGTTCAACTAGATAAGTAGTTTTCATTTTTTAATTAAAAATATTTATTTATTTAAGCAACAGGAAAATTTTTTCTTTTAAGCAAGAGGAGGATAAGAGGGGAGGGCTGTTGCATTTTGGAAAGAGCCCTTCTGGGTTCCGTGTGCAACAAGGACTTGGAGGGTGCAGAAGAGCATCTGGAAGCATTGCTTTCCAGGTTGGAGAGGGAATGTTGATTTAGCAGCAGCTATGGCCCTGAGACGGAGAAAAGTGGGTGCCATTGAGAGACATGTAGAAAACAACAACAACAAAGAAAACCTATGCTTGCTGGTAGATTGGAAGGGGGTATGTGGGAGAGGAAGGGTGCAGTTGTTTCTGTGCTTTGTGTGGTAGACCGTGGTGTTGATTTACGGCAACAGAGAATGCTGGGGGGGGGAGCGGGGAGCACACGCCTTTGTTTTCAGACTGGGAGAATCTGAGGAGCCTTTGGGACTTAGGCAGTCAGCTAGGTCGGGAGCTCAAAGGCAAAGTTCGGGCCTGAGCAATGGATCTGTGTCTAGAGACAGTGGTGGAAAATGTTCTCTTTGTGTCTTTCCCAGGTCATGTTGGGCCCCCTTGTTTCCATTGCTCTGAAGGTCTCCCAACTCCAGGAAAGGACAGGACGCTCCGCACCCACTGTCATCACCTAAGAAGACGGGCCGGGGGCGGTGCGTCTCTCCACCCGGGGACCCCCAGTCATCTGATTGAAGAGCATGGTTAGAATAATGTGTACTCACCCAGGCTTTTTAGGATTTGGCTTTTCCATTAACTAGTTTTTGATGAATGGTACGTTTGCAAAGCGCTGCCAATTGAGATGCCCTTGGGAGCCACGTGGGAAAGAGGGGAAAAGGACCCAGGGGCTTATGCTAGTGTCAATCCCTTTTCATGCTGCTGTGTGGGGGTTTGTCTCCTCAGTGCCAAGTTCTGTTTACACTACAATGTAACAAAGAGGTTGAGCATCAGCTAACGAGGCCACTTTTCATCCTTAGGATGGGCCAGTGAAATGACAGTGCACCTTTCTTTCTCCTTGGTGACCCTTTCCCCCCATTTACTGTTTACATGGAACCCAGCGAATACAATTTCTGGTGCCTTCTCTCCAATCAGCTCTTTCGTCAGAGTGAGATGTACCTGTCTACAGATTTCTGCCTTGTTTTGCAGCGTAGTCCCATTCACACAAATACTTCGGGTTATTAAAGCAAAATAAGCCACTCTTTCTTGGTGTCTTTTTTTCTTAACTATAAAATGCATTTTTTTATTTCAGAGAGAAAAAAAACCAACTTGGTTGTGGAGAGGGAGGTCGGTATTATATTTTGTTTGGATGTCCTAGGTAGAAAAAAGAACTTCCCTGTGTGAGGTTTAACATCCTTACACTCGAGGCTATAACTTTAGGTCTTAGCAGGGTCGACTGAGGCCTCGATCCTTCTGAGGAGGATAGAGTAAGCTTGACATGGCTCAGTGGGAGCGAGGGAAAGGAAGACGGTTTTCAGGAGGTCTTAAATGGCCAAGCACTGCCGGGCGTCCTGTGGCGCTGAGGTGCCGTGATGCCTGTTGGGATGGAGGCAGAACTCTCCGAATCCTAGAGCGAGATTCCTGGCCCTTGTCAGGAAGCCACGAGCCCACTGGCACCTTACTCACCGTAGAATGTTCATTCCAAGAGTGCATTCTAAGTGGTTAAAAGCACAGCCTTGGGAGCCAACACGCCTGAGTTCGAGTCCCACTTGAGTCACCTTTGAATATCATTCTCCTCCTCCTTAAAGTGGGAATGAAGATCGTTCCCCCTCTGTGGGGGCACTGAGGACCTTCAGTGAGTGGGCCTGTGGAAAGCAGTGGCACAGTGTCTGATTCATGGTAGGCTGTCAAATAAATGGGAACTAGGACTTTGCTTATTATAATATTGTTTCTAGATTTTAAAAAAAGATTTTGTTTATCTTTAGAGAGCGGACAAGGGAAGGAAAAAGAGAGGGAGAGAAACATCAATGTGTGGTTGCCTCTCGTACACCCCCTACTGGTGACCTGGCCCACAACCCAGGCATGTGCCCTGACTGGGAATTGAACCGATGACCCTTTGGTTTACAGGCCGGCGTTCAGTCCACTGAGCCACACCAGGGCTGTTTCTAGATTTTTAAGTATTGGAAAAAACACAAAGTACGGCACTGGTATTTGCAACGAACTTTGTGGTTTCTTATGAGCTATTCCAGAGAGACATTTCAGCTCTGTACCCCTCTGCCACCCAGTGTGGAGTCCCTGTTCCAGGTGACAGGGTGTTTATCTGGGGCCACATCTCTAACGTTGCCATTGAACAAGGGAGTCCAGCCCAGCAAACTCAGTTGAGCTTTGGCGACGATGAGACGAAGGTGCGTACTTACTGAACTTTAGATGCCAGGCCTTGTTCTAAGTGTTTTCCATATACTCTGAATGCTCCCGATAACTCTGTGAGGTAGGTACTTTGAATACTACCATTTGACAGGTAAAATCCAGTTTCTTGTCCAAGGTCACACCTCTGGAGAGTGGTGGCGTGCCCCCAGCCAGTGCATCTCAGCCCTTCACGGTTTACCAGTCCTTTGCCTCTTCTACTGACTGGCTACAAATACTCCTGTAATTGTACTTATTAAAGGGTGATACTGTGTGCTTTGGGTGCTGGAGAGTCTTAGTTTTAGAATTATTGTCTGTACCCTCCCCAAGACCTTGATATCTGGGTGTATCAGTCAGCCAGGAAACATGTATCAACCCACGTTACATGTGAGACACTGTGGGAGCAAAGGGACATGTGACGCGTGACTGCCCTCCCGCTGCCTGTGAGACCGGCTGGGGGAATGAAGCCCAGCGCAGACCGGAGACTGTGCAGGACAAGGGCCTTATGAGTTGTGTGGGCAGTGCCTACTGTGGAAATCCGAGTTTCCCAAACACCTCTTCTGTTTCAGATGTTGGGCTACATGCTTTCCAGCATCCTGCTAAGTGAGGCATTGTTATTCTCCTTTTAGACTTGAAGCAACTGAAGCTGAACAGAATTAGGTAATTTGCTCCAGGTTCCCAGCTACCATGTGGTAGAAGTGGAATTTTGACCCGAATCTTACTCACTTTCCATGACCCTTCCCTGCCTCCCCATCTGTTGAATCAGCTGCAGGCACTCCCAGGTCTGTGGCCCTTGGAATGGCTTCACAAAGTTCCTCCTCGGCCTTGGTCATAATTCAGCTGCTCTCCCTGATCTCACTTGGCTACAGGTTTCAGAGCTGGAAGTTCAGGGGAGGAAGAGGGAAGTGGCTGGGGCCATGGAGGAGTGGAGGGTGGGGTTGGGCAAGGGCCACCTTTTCTCCCTTTGTGGTTTCCAGAGAGGCACCCCAACACTTGTGCCCCCAGGAGTACCAGGAGACAGAGCGCTGCGAGGCTGGCCAGCAGCACAAAGCCAGGCTTCCCTGCCTCCTGGCGCTGACGTGCTCAGCGAGTCAGGCCTGTTTTCTTTGGGGTGTGGTGCAGATTGTACTGAGAAATCACTTAGGAATTGTTTGGGGCCCAACTCTGAAATTTTACTTTTCTCCTCCTTCTTCACATTCAGCTCTCATGTGGGAGAAGCAGATTCCTATTCAGGGGTGTTCCCCAGGCCCAGGAAAGGGCCAGGGTTCCAGGGGAGGAGCCCTGCCTCAGGGAACAAAAGCAAAAGCTGAGTTCGCTGCAGTGAGGAGGCAGGCTTTGGGGCCGGTGTCCTCCTGTCTCCTCCACCGCGAGTCCATCCAGGCTCTTTTCTGCTGTATTTCTTGTTGACTCATTAGGTAGGAATTGGCAGTAGTTTTAGAAGAATCCTCCAGAAAACATATTCCTATGTGTAAGAGACGTTCTCCATGTGTTTTCACATTCCAAACCCCCAGCAGAATGAGTACCATTGGGCACTGAGTCACTGCACCTCCCCTGGGTTACCGCAGGGCCCTCCTCATGTCCTCTGGCTTTCATCCTGGCCCCTTGATCCCTTTCCCACAACATCAGCGAAGTGCCCTTTCAAAAGCTGAAGTCCAGATGCCTTTATGTGGCCTACAAGGTTGTGCAAGCTGCCTGCTGCCTACCCTAGCAACTCTTCTTTTTCTCTCTCTTGCTGCCTATGGTCCATGTTTCAGCCATGTGGACCCATCGGCAGTTCCCTGGAAATTCTGTGCTCTCTTGTCTCCAGGCCTTCGTTCCTGCTGTCCCGGCTTCCTGCATCACCTGCCCCCGACACCACACCCTCCACCTTATTCCCCAGCTCCCACTCATTCCTCAGGTCTCGACTTCAACATCATCCTCTCCAGGCAGCTTTTCCTGAGCCTCCAATATCTGGTTCGGGAGCTTTTTCAGGTATTCGCATGGCGAGCTATTTATGGCACTTACCCTCTGTGTGAATAGCCTGCTTATTTTCCGACTCCCCTGCTTCCCTGGGAACTCCTTCTAGAAGGCACAGATTACCTTTTTCATTAACCTTTATCTGGGATCTAGCCCTGTGCCCAGCACATAGTAAAAGTTTAATAAACAGTTTTGGGAAACAGGGAGTGAAATCTAGCTGCGTGGCACGGTGCCTTCCAATGCCGTGAACTCCCCAGTCATCTGAGGCGTGATCACTGTCACGTTATAGGTGGTAAGTGACTTTCACAGCTAGGGAATGCCTAATTATGACCTCTCCTGGCTCAGGTGTCCAACCTGTTGGTGTCTCTGTGCCACACTAAAAGAAGAAGAGTTGTCTTGGGCCACACATTAAATACATTGCAACATGTAATCACACACAAAAAAATCTCATAATGTTTTAAGTAAGTTTATGATTTTGTGTTGGGCCACATTCAAGGCTGTCCTGGCCTGTGGGCTGTGGGTGGATCACCCCTGCTCGAGGTGGAAGGTGAGAAAGCACCCAGGAGAGTCAGGGTGGATACCAGCAGCAGGTGGGGGGTTACTTTGAATAAAACTTGATTTAAATATTAAACAGCATTTTATCTTCCATTGCTACAAAAGTTAAGTGGGCAGGTAGCCAGGAAAGACCTCACCAAATTAGCTTGAATACAGAAAGAAGTTATTTTTCTCCAGGAAATAGAGTCATTGAAACCTCCAAGCCCTGAACCGCCCTCTCCCCATCCCATGCTCCCACTGAGCACATTCACGGACGGGAAGCCGTGATGGGGCTAGGTAGGGACCCAGGTCCAGGTCCCTCAGCATCTGGGTCCAGGGCCTACAGCATCTACTTCCAGAAGGCTCAGAGCTCGTCTAGGCCCCTATTATCAGAGTGTGGGGCATTCCCACAAAGTTGGCTTGTCGTCATACAAAAGAAATGCGGTCATTGCCAGCAAGAGCATGTCTCATGTCTGTCTGCTAGTCCTATGGGGACTTTGGAGTGCTTTGGTTTCGTTTTCACCAACTATGAGAGCTCTACCTAGGATGTGTGGGTATGGGCTAATGGCTGTTTTCCAAAAAGCATGTCTTCTATGATTCCATGTGCTGCTCTCCAGGTGACAGAAAGACTAGTTAAGATTAGCAAGGTATTTGCTTTTCATGACCATTGTTTCGGAGAAGCTTTGTCTCCATTGTTTTCTGACTGCATTTTTGTGCTGTGCTAGCAGGACTATTACTTTCCCTACTAAAGAGAGACTCTGAGGGTTTATGTGGCCTATTAAGAGCCTCACAGTCATGATGAAGGTGAAGACCCACCAATTTCACCTGTCCTTGGGTCTGGGATGGTTTTCTGTCTAGCATTACTGGGTAAGAAAGCACCCCAAGATCTAGTAGTGCTGCCCTGTTGCGTGATCTTACCATGTTCTCAGATTCTTAGGCCAGGAGATCAGACGGGGCGCAGGGGAGATAGCTTGTGTCCACTCCACAGTGTCTGAGCCCCCTCTGAGAAGACAGGAACAGCTGGGAATGACAACTGCCCAGGGGCTGGAACCCTCTGGAGGCTCCTGGACTCAAAGGCAGGGTTCAGTGGGACTGTCGACCACTGTGCCTGCACACGACCTCTCTGTGGAGCTCAAGTTTCTCACAGCATGGTGTTAGCTTCTGTGGACAAGTGTGCCAAGAGAGCCAGAAAGAAGATGTATTTTTCTTTCCTATCCAGCTTCAGAAGTCATGTGGTATTGCTTCTGCTATATCCAACTGGTTATAATCAAGTCACTCAGGCCAGTCCAAGTTCAAGGGGAAGGGTATTTACACTCTACCTCTTCTTGGGGGTAGGGAGTAGCAAGATTACGTTGCAGAACATGAGATA